AATATCCTGACTTATGAGACCAAAAGGAGGGTTATTCAGGGGGTACAGTATTTAGATACAAAATGAGGAAGGAGAAAGGCTCAGTTCCTTGGATCATGAGCCCTTTCACCACAGTAAGAATCCTCCTTCAATGGGTTTACTAGTTAAAAAAATTCCTGTAAGAAAGTTAATGATTAAAAAAACTTTATTACCTAAACTTCACAGGTTTACTTTCAAGAGTAATTGTTCCTATTTATCCCCAGTGGGTCTCATCTGTAAGATACCAAAAAAAAAAAAATGTATTTGGGATAGCAGGTGTCCATGTGCAGTATATTATCAGTCTGTGAGGCAGAAACTCAGTTCTGTTTACACCCCTTTCACCTCACCATATACGTATTCAGGCACTTTATACCTTCTTCATAACAGTGAGTGGCATGGGAAGGGGACATGAGTACATGAAGTAGCGGATGTGGAGTGGTTCCATAATACAAATATAATCAAATCATGCACTAGACCCGTGTGGGTCATACAGGGCCAAAGCAGGAGTGCACGAATGTTTGGAGGTATGCAAGGGGTAAAGGTGTGCAAGGAGTAGGGGCTAGTGGAGATGGGGGGGTTAATGCAAGTGAAATTGAAATCATAGTTGATGCAAGTTTGAGTTAAAAGGTCAAAGAGCACGTGTCAAAGGTGTTGTTTTCGGTGAGGTCAGCTAAGTGTGTCAGGGCAGTGTACAGGTTGGATGTGAATCACATGGTATACTGTGGGGGTGGAGTAGTGTGGGTGAGGTGAAGACAAAGTACAGTGTGGGAGAGAAGTGTGGGTGGGGTATGAATGCATAGTACATTGTGGGGTGAGTCCAGTGTGTGTGGTGTGAAAGGACAGTACACCAAGGGGAAACGGTGGGATGCAAATGGGTAGTAGTGTCGTGTAGGGGTGGTGGGGAGGCATTGTAATGCGAGGGGTCAGTTGGAGGCAGTGTCAGGGAGGTGTGAGGGGTATAGTAGTGTCAGGGTGGTGTGAGGGGTTTAGTAGTGTCAGGGTGGTGTGAGGGGTTTAGTAGTGTCAGGGTGGTGTGAGGGTATAGTTGTCAGGGTGGTGTGAGCGGTATAGTAGTGTCAGGGTGGTGTGAGGACTATAGTAGTGTTAGGGTGGTGTGAGGGGTAGTGTCAGGGTGGTGTGAGGGGTAGTGTCAGGGTGGTGTGAGGGGTATAGTAGTGTCAGGGTGGTGTGAGCGGTATAGTAGTGTCAGGGTGGTGTGAGGGGTGTAGTAATGTCAGGGTGGTGAGAGGTATAATAGTGTCAGGGTGGTGTGAGGAGTATAGTAGTCAGGGTGGTGTGAGGGGTGTAGTAATGTCAGGGTGGTGAGAGAGGTATAATAGTGTCAGGGTGGTGTGAGGAGTATAGTAGTGTCAGGGTGGTGTGAGGGGTATAAGAACATAAGAAAGAAGGAACACTGCAGCAGGCCTATTGGCCCATGGTAGGCAGGTCCAAGTCTCCTACCGGCTTAAGCCAATGCTCCAACCTAGTCAGGTCAGATCACAATCACTTAAGGAAGGAGCATGGCATCTGACCTAGTAGCAGAAGCTAGTCAGGTCCAACTCACACCCACCCGCACCCACTCATGCATTTATCTAACCTATCTTTAAAACTACACATTTCAGCATCTATAACTGTACTTGGGAGCTTGTTCCACTCATCCACAACTCTATTACCAAGCCAGTGCTTTCCTATATCCTTCCTGAATCTGAATTTTTCCAACTTAAAGCCATTGCTGCGATCCTGTCTAGGCTAGATATTTTTAGCACGCTATTTACATCCCCTTTATTTATTCCTGTCTTCCATTTATACACCTCAATAATATCATCCCTAACTCTACGCCTTTCTAGAGAGTGCAGATTCAGGGCCCTCAGTCTATCTTCATAGGAAAGATTTCTGATACATGGGATCAACTTTATCATCCTCCTTTGTACATTTTCCAGAGCATTTATATTCATTCTGTAATACTATGACCAAAACTGTGCAGCATAATCTAGATGAGGCCTAACCAAGAATATGTAGAGTTGAAGAACATGAGGATTATTATTTATGCCTCTCGATATGAAGGCAAGACTTCTGTTTGCTTTATTGCGAACACTTATGCACTGTTGTCTTGGTTTTAGATTATTGCTAACCAGATCTCCCAAATCCTTTTTGCAACCTTTGCTGTATAGCCCTTGTGGCTTAGCACTTCTTTTTTATTATAATAATAATAATAATAATAATAATAATAATAATAATAATAATATTCGCAACCTGTAATATTAAAATCTACATTATTTAGTTTATATGTGTATGCTTCTAAACTGTTGTATTCTGAGCACCTCTGCAAAAACAGTGATAATGTGCGAGTGTGGTGAAAGTGTTGAATGATGATGAAAGTATTTTCTTTTTGGGGATTTTCTTTCTTTTTTGGGTCACCCTGCCTCGGTGGGAGACGGCCGGCTTGTTGAAAAAAAAAAAAAAAATAAGGTGGCAAAGTTATTTTCCTGTCCAATGTTTAGAACTCTGCATTTGTCTATATTAAACGGCATCTGCCACTTTGACAACTGCATCAGTCTATTCCAATCTTCCTGGAGTGCTCTGTCCTCATCAGAGTGAATTCGACGGCCTATTTTGGTGTCATCAGCAAACTTGCTAATATCTCTATTTATTCCCTCATCTATGTCATTTATGTAGATTGTGAACAAGGGACCCAACACTGACCCCTGTGGAACACCACTCGTGATACTTCCCACTTTGATTTCTCCCCATTTATGCAAACTCTGCTGTCTATTTATTAACCATACCTCTATCCAGGAAAAAATTTCTCCTATTCCATGTGCCTTAATTTTCCTCAATAGTCTCTGATGTGCAACTTTATTGAAAGCCTTGCTGAAGTCCATATACATAATATCATATTCATTACCATGATCTACCTCCTCAAATACCTTAGTGAAAAAAGTTAATAAATTCGAAAGGCAGGAATACCCTTTTGTAAAACCATGTTGAGATTCGTTGATTAATTTATGCTTTTCAAGATGGCTACAAATTGCCTCACCAATCATTGATTCCATAAATTTCCCCCACTATGGAGGTTAGGCTTATTGGTCTATAGTTCGAAGCTAAGGACCTGTCACCTGCTTTGAAAATAGGCATCACATTTGCTATTTTCCACTTATGGTATAGTAGTGTCAGGGTGGTGTGCGAGGGGGTAGTGTGTGAGGGGCTTGGACTTCCAGCAAGCGTGCATGAGCGTGTTAGATAGGAGTGAATGGAGACGAATGATACTTGGGACCTGACGATCTGTTGGAGTGTGAGCAGGGTAATATTTAGTGAAGGGATTCAGGGAAACCGGTTATTTTCATATAGTCGGACTTGAGTCCTGGAAATGGGAAGTACAATGCCTGCACTTTAAAGGAGGGGTTTGGGATATTGGCAGTTTGGAGGGATATATTGTGTATCTCTATACGTATATGCTTCTAAACTGTTATATTCTGAGCACCTCTGCAAAAGCAGTGATAATGTGTGAGTGTGGTGAAAGTGTTGAATGATGATGAAAGTATTTTCTTTTTGGGGATTTTCTTTCTTTTTTTTGGGTCACCCTGCCTCGGTGGGAGACGACCGACTTGTTGAAAAAAAAAAAAATCAAAAAGAAGCGCTAAGCCACAAGGGCTAAGTGGAGAAGTGTAGCGGTGGTGGTGGAGCAGCGTGAGAATGGTTTGGGATGGCTGAGCAGTGTAAAGATGATTTGGGTTGGCTGAGCAGTGTGAGGATGGTTTGGGTTGACTGAGCAGTGAGAGGATAATTTGGGGGTCAAATGTAATGTTTTAGCAGAGTACAGTAATGTACAGAATAGTAGGGGACTAATATAGTGGGAGGGGGAGCAAATGGAAAGGGCTGTCAAATATAATGGAAAGGAGGGAATGCAAGATATGGGAAAATGAGAAGAGGGAATGGGAGGGAGGGGAAGGAAAGGGCTTCTGACAGGAGGACTCTTTTGAGTACTATACATTTTTAATTTTTATTTAACTTTATTGTTAAAAAATAAATGAAATTATATATGGAATATTATAGCTTGGGAAAACATCTCCAATTAGGACGTGTCTGTAGGAAAATAGGTTCAGAGTTCAAAAAAAAACAAAAAAAAATTGGGAACACAAGCATTCCCAGTAAGGGACCTACTGTGTTGAGTAACCTTCACATAGTTTACATCAATGATCATTATTTCCAGATTCCCTATGATCCTGGGAAGAAGCTATAACCTTGCAAATTCGAACTACCAAAGTTATCCTCTCATCCATGGATCATTGGACATTCTCATACAAGTGAATAGTTTTAATTTGAAGTAAAGTAGAATTGAATCAACCATTAAAGCTTCTGATATACTAGGCATGCCTCAAGAGCTTACAAAAATTAATACTGACTTTATAAAACTTGTTGTAGAAAAAATTACATCTTGTCATAAAATTAAAATTCATTATGAGTGTTTTCTATAATCAGTTACATTTTATAATTATATTAAACATCAGGTACAGAATGACTTTTTGTCAAAACCTTCGAAAAGGAAAATATTCAAGTGTAATATCACCAATCGTACATTACAAAACTTGCTCCAGTACAATGCATCAAATACCTAACAATAAATACTGTATTACATAAATATTTAAAATGAAATGTTACATCAAATTTTACATAAACATTCTTAAAACATAACCATGCCTTTGATTAGCAAATCATTCTAATAGGGATTACTTATTGCACAGTAATATTTAATTTAAATTCAAAGTGCCAGTTGCCCACTTAATGGATCATGTAAATGCAAGGAAATGACTGATATTCATTTATTTGTACTTGTCATCTATACAGTTTTGAAATTTGAGCAAATAAAACATGGACACCAAGCGTTGGAAATGCTGGAGCAATTCTCTCTCTATTCAGTCCAATGAAGTGTGACAACTATCCATGTTGGATAATATAATAGGATTTTGAATAAAACACATGGAGACATGGAATAATCAACACATCTTATTATTTCCTTGTGCATTTGGTATAAAAATAAGTTAAAGACATGAAATGAATTGAAAAGAAGAATTTGTTTCAGTTGCTAATTTCAGGACAAAGTTCAAGTTTCATGAAACATGTAATGATCCACTTTAGCACATTTTGAGCTGTCTAAAGAATTACTCGGTCCATTAGTTAAAACTGCTGCACTATTATTACTTTCACTGTTAGATAAGCTGTCACTTGTCCGAGGTGTTGAAGTGAACAATTTTTGAGACACCAGATTATTTGTTGTCGCACTACTTAAGACATTGCTACCATTATTTTTATTATTAGATGATAAGAGTCCACTGGGTACACTCAAAGCATCTGCCGACGAAGATTCTTGTTGGTGTGAAGACGTTAACGCTTGGCTACCACCGCATTCACTGTTTGAACATTCGCTGCCAACCTTTTCACTTAAAACACTGGAGGAGGCACACAGTAAGCTGTTACTTAGACTAGTTGCTGAGGAAGTCGGTAAGGAGATGGAGGAGGAGGAAGTTGATGTCAAGGATGAGGATGGTAAAGATGTCAATGAGGATGTGGATAATGATGAGGGTAAGGAGGAAGAATGAATTTCATCACCCGTCACATTGCTTGTACTAAGTTGAAGCCCCGATACTGCCAAGGGAAGCGTGTTATAAGAGTCTAGCGTCACAAACTTGGATGTTGGTTGAGTGGTGAAATCTACGGAATGTTGTTGTTGTCTATCAATTGTACTACTAAAATTTGATGCCCATACACTGTTTGAGAGATCATCTAAAGTCACACCACCACTAGCACTAGAACCATCATTTGGCCCACCACCAGTTCTTGCTACATTACTATTTTCTGTCACAAGGTCCACTTCTAGGTTCTCCTCAAGAATCACTCCAGAGTCACTATTGAGTAAAGTGTCTAATTCTGATGGTATTGACACTTCTAATTCCGTTACATTCCCAGCAGCTTCACCATCAATAACTTCTGCAGTGATATAAACCGAGGATGGCAAAGTAGTTGCAAGGTTTAACTCTTCTGGGGATGAGGTGGAATTGAGGTTCACATCGGGTGTTAAGGTGACAGGAACTCCTACAGTCTCAACGTCTATTTCCACATCGGTGTCATCCCCAGGCGGAGAACTCGGGCAAAAGTGCGGCCTGTTGAAAACACATTTAATTAAACCAACAAAGATTACCTAAGTATTATTACACAAAGTTACCAGTTTAACAAAAAATAGTTAAAATAAAAAAAATCATAATGCCAAAATTGTGTGAAAGCAATGCATGTTAGAAGATAACTAAAATGAGAAAAATTAAATCTATTTTTCTTTTTTAGAAAACTTGGTAAGTAAAAAATAATAATATAAACTATTTAAACTGTTCCTTTATGCAGGTTTAGAATAAACTTTAAATAATTTACCTTGACCATTATGTACTTCAATACTCAAATATACTATTATTTTTTAGCACACTAGCCATCTCCCACCGAGGCAGGGTGACTCAAAAAAAAAAAAAAGAGAAAGAGAAATATTTTCACCATCATTCACATATAACCACTGTCTTTGCAAAGGCAAGCAGGTGTGATAGTTTAGATGTCACTCTAAACAGCAAATATCCCAAACCCCTCCTTCAAAGTGTAGGCACTGTACTTCCCACCTCCAGGACTCAAATTCAGCTAACCAGTTTCCCTGAATCCCTTCACAAAATATTACGCTGCTCACACTCCAACAGCTCATTAACTTCCAAAAACCATTCATCTCCATTCACTCCTATCTAACATGCTCACACATGCCTGTTGTATGTCAAAGCCCCTTGCACACAAAACCTCCTTTACCCCCTCCCTCCATCCTATCCTAGGATGACCCCTACCCCTCCTCCCCTCCACTACAGATTTATACACTCCTCAAGTTATATATTTATAAATTTTAGTCATGCAAGTAACTTAACCAGTCCTTTGTCTTTACTTATTTCAAAATCAGTTATCACTTTGTGAAATACCTAGCTACTCATTTTAGTTAATTTATTGCTGCACTCTCTGGTTACTATTACTGACCTACTGAAACTACTGATAATAAACTTTTTCTGACTCTCATTTACAGTTGATTCACTACAAATTTTCTTCACCAAATGAATACTGACCAGACTTTTCTTGACACCTGCTCAAAAACCCTTTCGTTACAAAGCTACTACTGTGTTAACTTTGCTATTTCACATAAATCTACCACATTTCCAAAGAAAAAACACATTTTTTACACCCTGACACCTGAAATTAAGACACATGTGCAACATCTGGGTATCTTTATTGTAGACGTTTCGCCATCCAGTGGCTTTATCAATACAAATTCTAGGACGTAACTTGAAGACAGTAGGACTATGTACAGAAGATGAGGTAATCAGTCCCTCAACCTTGGAGTAGGTGCGAAGAGCACCGTAGTCGTGGAGATTCTGTAGCAGAAGCAAGGAGCCTGGCGCTTATATAGTAACGTCAGGTGTAGCAGACGAAGGCATAGTCACTGGTAGGCGGGATTCCCCAGTGGAAGTAGGTCCTTCCCATCTCTTTGGGAAGGACCTACTTCCACTGGGGAATCCCGCCTACCAGTGACTATGCCTTCGTCTGCTACACCTGACGTTACTATATAAGCGCCAGGCTCCTTGCTTCTGCTACAGAATCTCCACGACTACGGTGCTCTTCGCACCTACTCCAAGGTTGAGGGACTGATTACCTCATCTTCTACATAGTCCTACTGTCTTCAAGTTATGTCCTAGAATTTGTATTGATAATGCCACAGGATGGCGAAACGTCTACTATAAAGATACCCAGATGTTGCACGTGTCTTAATTTCATCTTGTCGGTATTATATACCATTCTTGCACACCCTGACACCTGTAGAGGTGTAACCTGAAGGTAGGAAAGACCAGTTTAGTATGAGTGACTCAAAGAATCCTACAACAAATAATATTCTCTGTATGTAACTTGATCATTGCTTTAAATCTCTCTCTATTTGATTCCAGAATTTACTCATGATCCAGTTATTTCCTTCATAGCTAAGGCTATTAATTTTGACTGCTTCCATTTTCATTTACTTGCTCTCTGGAGATTTATAATAATTGTTATTTGACAGCAATTCTTATCTTTTATGTCAATCCATTTCACTTTTTCATCTTTGTCCCAATTGCATATGAAAGCTCTGTAAATATTACATGAGAAAGGCAATATTTATACTGTAAAATATAACACAAAATTTGAAGAGTAATGTAAAAATGAGTCCAAGGATCAGAAAATATCATACATCACAAATTGGATAAGTTCATACATTTTTCTACTTTTTTTTTTCTAAATAAAGCCATTTTTCTCTTCCTAATACACCATATATTCATTCTTAACTAAAGTATGATTAATAAAATTAATTTTCAAATCTTACCATTCTGTTTTAACCTCATGGAGGAAATCATTTGTAGCTGTGAGGCCGTTAGGTCCCACATCTCTAAAATCCGTCTTGAACCAAAGATCATCAAGCGGCGTACTTAATCTATCTATCCACATTCTGTTGAAAAAATTAAAGCACGTAAATAATTTACAGCAGTGTGAATAAAACTGAATAACTAAAGCATGCTAGTTAAGAGGTATATCTAACTATATCTGCTATAAAAATATGAGAAAATTAATGGGTGTTATTTCCCCTGTCAATAATTTTTGAACATGAAAAATTAATTAAACTTAGTAACATCTTATAAAATCAATTCTTTATCAGGGGAGTGAGATCATCATAGTCATTCCTATAAATTTATGGAGGGCTATGTTTCTAGAGGTTCCCCAAAACTAGAAACTATGAATAATATTAAATCAATATGACAAATTGTTCAGATTTGGCTTCATTTTGTGTTTCAGAGCCTATATTTTTCCAATGTATTTTTCTTATCCAGTTAATATTGACATTCATAGAAATAAAGACCAGAATAAAGAGAGATGAACATGGGAACATCACCAAGTCAGAAACACATTCTCTATTCTCTGGTTACCCTGCAGTATAAGCACTGGACACACAAAATCTGCTAATACAAAAGCCTGGGAATTTGTAGGAATGGGTGCATATAGTACACTATTACATGGTTTCTCATACTTTGTGGATAAGATAAACATTTAGGGCATTATAATGTGGAAACATTTCGTTGTAGGACCTAGATCATCCCAACTATACCCACATTTTACATTATGTGAGAACACACAGTGACTGCATTAACCCTTTCTTCAGATTATGCAATCTCACTATGTTCCAAATATAATTTCATGGAATAGCAAATGTGCTCATGTAAACCTCCGGATATGTTTTTAATAAAAAACCTAAGGCTGACATATTTTATATACAATGGAATCTAATATATCATGTGTTCAAGGATTAAGTTTTTAATAATGAAATTTATAAATTGCTTTATTAGAATGTTTGTTCACTCCTGTGTAAAGAAGTACTTCTGTAATGTGACTCAGCCTGGACACTCAACCTGGCAATCCATACTGTTGTGACCATTCTTTACTGGATAATTAAAAAATATGACAGTGGGTGCAATAGTACATCACTCACAACAATGAGTTGAAGAACAACTGCACCTAACAGAAGAGAAAAGCACTAATATTTCAATATTAACCCTTTGACTGTTTTCGACGTATAAATACGTCTTACGAGCCAATGTTTCTGACGTATATATACTCAATAATTCTAGCGGCTTCAAATCAAGCGGGAGAAAGCTGGTAGGCCCACATGTGAGAGAATGGGTCTGTGTGGTCCGTGTGCACCACATAAAAAAAATCCTGCAGCACACATTGCGTAATGAGAAAAAAAAATTGATCGTTTTTTTGGAATAAAACGCCGACTTTGAGGTGTATTTTCGTATAGTATTTATCGTTGTATTCGCGTTTTCATGGTCTTGGGTGATAAAATGGAAAACATATTACAGAAATAGAGATGATTTTCATTACTTTGACGATGAAAACGACCTTGAAACTGAGCTCAAAGTAGCGGAAATGTTCGATTTTTACCAATGTTCAGGAGTAAATAAATCACACCACACGTCCAATACACGTCAACTGGGGAGTCTAATATTCTTTCACTAGTGCACTGATATTATTTATACCATTTTTACAATAATGCAGTAGTCTGCATAACAGTAAATTTTGTATTTTTTTGTATGAATAAAAAATCAAAATAGAAAGCAATAATAATATATAAGAGGAGCCTAGAGATGTGACTAATGAACAGAGCATATGTTATTTTAGTGCCAAGAATGTCTACTTTGTTTATTCTGGACCCTATTTTGAAATTGGCATCTTTTTTAGTTTGCGTGAAATTGGCCAAATTGCCAATTTCTGACCACCATATTGGGTAGTCCAAATTAGTAAATGGGAGGTTTCTTGTACTCAGCTGATAGATAAAATGGAGTTCTAAAGAAATAGCTATGAGTTTGGTCAACTGGAACAATGGAATTGGCTGAAAATAGGGCTGGTCAACTGGAACAATGGAATTGGCTGAAAATAGGGCTCAAAGTCGGCGAAATCGCCGATACGCTTATGTCGCCGAGACCGCTAAATTCGCGGGAGCATAATTCCATGAGTTTTCGACCAAATTTCGAACTTTTGGTGTCATTACCATCGGGAAAAGATTCTCTATCATTTCATAAGAAAAAATATTTTTTTTTTTTTTTCAAAAATTGAGTGACATAGAATGACAGTTTCAGAGAAGGGCCTGAAACAGTCAAAGGGTTAAAAGCAAATATTACTAGCTGTTGTCACCAAGTCTTACACTAGTGGTAGCTATTGGTCTGGAACCTCTCCAGCAGCCAAGTGGCAGAGAATGCCCCAGCCACCATTCTTATCCAAGGGTGCCTACTGACATTGCTTGCTGGGTCATAGGAACAATCCCCCCCCACAACCTCGTTGCAGTGGGGGTACATTAAGGGCAAAAACAGAGAAATCAGCATCTTTAGTTATTCTTAACTTCTCCATATATAACATTCGATTGCAATACTATATATGGCAGGGCTGAAGTTCCTATGGTATGCAACAGTTACTGTTATCCTAAGACTTTTTTTAACCAACCAAAACAATTATATACTGTAAACCATCACTAAGAGCTCACATTACATTCCTGAAACTCAGCATCTAATCTAAAATTGCACTAATGGATGTGAAGAACATATGGTCAAAATAGGACTAAGTTCCAGACACTCAAATTTGCTAAGCAAAACTTTAAAAAATCCTATGTCAAAAATAACAGTTTATCTTACCTTACATAGTTAATCATTACTTGAAGCATTTGAAGAGTGAGGGAAGGGTTAATGTGAGCCTACTGGGCCAAGTGTGGATGTAGCAAGGTTTCTCATCTGATATGTATGTAGGAGGCAGCAGTTGCCTTCTTTGTGTTGGGACACACACGAGCCAAGGACAGCTTACACCGTGGTAAGCCAACAACATGTGAACATTAATAAAAATATGAGCTTCATTTCCTTACCAAATTGTACCAAACATACAGGAAGCCACCACACCCATATCAAATGTACATACATTAATTTTTTTCTTTTTAACACCCAAAAAAGAAGAAATAAAAAAAAAATTTTTAACACAATGGCAGTTTCCCACCAAGGCAGGGTGACCCGAAAAAGAAGACACATTTTCATCACTATTCACTTTTTACATTTGGTAATTTATACAGGAAAAAGAGTTACTAGCCCTTTGCTCCTGGCACTTCAGTATCATAAGATACGCATGGCTTATGGAGGAAGGATTCTTTTCCACTTCCCATACAAATTAAATATTAATTAATGCCTTTGAAAAATTAATAACCAAAAAAGTAATAATGATGGTGTCAAAGGGTGTGTTTGGGAGATGTAGAAAGAACTGCTGACCCTGGCTTTAGCTCCCAGAAATAATAAGATATCACAGATTTATGCATCTAAACTCTTCAATGCATACAGTATCTGAATTGTCTGTACAATTTCTAAATTTTGTATGCTCTATGCATGAGACTAATTTGTCATGATGTCATTTTTAATGGATGAGAGAGCAGCATACTCTTTCCGAAGCCAAGACAGAGTCAACACTGAAATGCGATGCCTCAACCTACTCAAAATATTATTACTATACTGATAATATAATAGCCAGCAGTTGGCATAAGACTTGATCTTACATCATATTTCACTTCATTAGCCAAATAAAATACTTTGCATTACAATATTCATTGTGCTGGGTAGTATGGGTGACCACCCAGTGAAGTTATTACTGTGCCCTCACTACAACTTTCTCATTTAAAAACTTCTTTCAACAGATCGGCAGTATCTCATCGAGGTAGGGTGGCCCAACAAGAAAAAACAAAAGTTTCTCTTTTTAACTTTAGTAATGTATACAGGAGAAGGGGTTACTAGCCCCTTTCTTCTAGCATTTTACTGGCCTCTTATGACATGCATGGCTTACGGAGGAAGAATTCTGTTCCACTTCCCCATGGAAAAGAAAAAAATAATTCTTTTTCTTATGAAATGTTAAGAAAACCTCCTTCTGAAGGTAATAATACAAAAATACAAAATATGATGGAAAACTGATGAAATTATACTTTTGCCAATTTTGCTCTGTCGGCAATGCTTACACATTGGCGATTTTGCCCACTTTGAGTCCTATTTTAGGCCAATTACACTGTTTCAGTCGACCAAATTCGTAACTCTTTCACTAGTATGTCTTCCATTTTATTGAGGACAAAAAGTGCCCAATCAACTATTTCTTCTACCCAATACAGTGATCATTATTATTATTATAATCAAAAAGAAGCGCTAAGCCACAAGGGCTATACAGCGCTGCAGGGTAGGGAAGGAAGCGAAGGTATTGGGTGGCAGAAGGGAGGAGGGATGATCAGTAGGTTACAGAAAATAGCGGGGCAGGGGATAGTGCGGGGGTAGAGGGTAGCAAGAGATTGAGGTAGAAAGGGCTGAAGGTATCAGAATTTGTGAAGTCAGTCAGTTGTTGTCAAAAAGTCAATGAGAGAGTCCGGATGAAAGGTGGGTCCATCAGTGAGAAGGGAAGGTAAAGAGAGAGCAGCGGACCGAAGACAGAGGTAAATTCTGAATGCTCGTTGATAAAGTGGGCAGTCCAACAGAATGTGGCTGACCGATAATGGAGCCTGGCAATTCTCACAGAGAGGAGCAGGGCGCCTCTCCATGTAATATCCATGAGTAAGACGAGTATGGCCAATGCAAAGACGGGAGAGAGTAGTCTCCCAACCTCGACACTGGTGATAACAAGACGGCCAGTAACCTATACTCGGTTTAATAGATTGAAGTTTGTTGCCGAGCATAGTAGACCAATGTTGTTGCCAACGGGTGTGAAGGTGGGAAGATATTGCAGCAAAATAGTCCGTAAATGGAATACCTCTATATGAAACTGGTAGGTCATGTACTGCTGACCGCGCAGCAGTGTCTGCCTGTTCATTGCCCTGTACGCCAAAATGACCAGGGACCCAACAAAAAACAATATCTTTATGCTTGGTAAAGATGTGGCGTAGCCAAA